ATTTTATTTTCTATTAATACAATGAAAGCAGCATCAGTCACTCTTGACAATAGCAAATAATTTTTTGGTAAATTTTAGTTCTGAGATGGCTCTTTCTGATGATGCTATTGTTGCTGGAGCTGACAAGACTATTTTATAGTCCAGTGGTGGCAAACTATGGCACACATGCCATGGTAGGCATGGAGAGCCCTTTCTATTGGCCCATGAGTCAGGTCACCTCAGCATCACCCTAGCAGTGGAACATCAGATAATTCAGGTTTAATTGCAGTGCTGGCACTTTGCAATAAACAAGTGGTTTGGGGGTTGCAAGTTTGGGCAATCGGTCTCTAGAAGTTTCCCCATTTCTGTTATTGACTAACAATATTAGCATAAATTTCTGGAAATTGTCTTGAAAAATAAATTTTAGTATATCTAGAGCTGATAATTCTTGCATAACAATTTCTCTTAAATGACTTCTTATAAGTCAGTTTCTTTAAATCTGAATTTATTTTTCAATGTTTATTTGTATAGTGGCATATGTATGATAGCATTTCAATATTTTCTCTGACATTTTCCATAACTTGTGGAAATAAAAACTAAAAAGTTTTATATGTGTTGATTATAAAGAAAATTAATTTTTCTGTCTATTAATTGGTCCATGCCAGTTTACATATGAAAATAGTAAGTACTTTTGTCAGGTCTGGGGGCACTTGCCTATAATCCCAGGTACTTATGAGGCTGAAGCAGGAGGATCCTGGACAATTTAATAAGACCCTATTTCAAAAGCTTTTTATTTTAATAAAAAGGGATAGAGCTCAGTGGTAGAGTGCTTACCTAATATATACAAGGCTCTGGGTTCAACCCTCATTACCAAGAAGGGAGATGGAGGAAAGAAGGGAGAGAAGGAGAGAGGGAAGGAGGAAGGGAAGGACAGATGGAAAGGAGAAAGAGAGGAGAAATTAATACTTTTCTCCATAGAATATGAAAACTTTACTTTTAATTTCTATTTCCAAGACTTAAGATACTTGCATTGCAATGTTATGGTTTTTTAACCAGAGATTCTAAACTCTCTAAGGAATTCTGGCTACTCCCTATTATCACTTATTACAATGTCTGTGTGTGCATTTTTATTTCATTACAATTGATTGACAAAGTTCTCTGCCTGGTTGGTGGCAGTTGCTGTCCAGTGTTGAGCAGAGGGTTACAATTTGTGTATATGTATCAGAAAGGGCTCCTGAAACTGATGGACAAGGTGGCCTCCCACATGGATTCCAGTGCTGGTCCTCCATAGATGGAGCTCCTCCTCTGTTCTATGGATAGTTTCTGCTGCAGCCACCACCAGTGTCACTATCACAGGCCCATGTTTTGGTATAGCATCACCTAAGGGTGCCCTGAAGCCTCATGTACATGAAGGTGTCTTGCATACAGCCTGGCTGCTTTGCATGCATGTTGCCTATTGCTGCCCAATTGATCTGCATATATTTTATTATTCTAAAAACTTCACTTAGAAATCACAGTTATGAAATCATCAAGACTACGAAGGCAGAGCAGTAAGCCAAGCATTCTGAGAGCAGAGTGCACAGAGAACATGCTCTCGAAACCAGTCTGAAACCCAGGGGTTCTTAACTAGAGGTGATTATGCCCATCTGAGTGCCCTACTTTGGGTTCTCTTGCATTGGGTTCCAGTTGAGTCCCCCAAAAGGAGAGTGACAGGATATGTTAATACCAAAGCAGATCTTGAACAGGATCCATCACTGACAAACCCCTTAGCCTTCTCGTGGTCACTATGCCATGCTCTTCCAGTGGAGTCTTCTGGAAGACTGCAGTGCAGAGCAGTTCCTACACTCACCTCCACTGCATTCTCCTTTCTTTTGAGACAGTCAAGTGAAAACTGAGGGGAGGAATGTTGGTAGCAACTGACTTAGAATTTTCCTAAGACTGGGTCTGGTTTAGGGTAAGGATCCAAAGGCCAAAAGCTCTGACATCCTCAATGGGTAACTTGAAGATCATTGTGTGTGTTGATATCTAGAAACAAAAGGAAATTCACACCTAGCCTGAGATTTGGAAGCAATACAGACTGTATTTCATTTAAATTTCCTTGGCCATGACTCAGGGGTTATGGCTGTCCTTGGCTACTATGGAGGGGCTGGGAAATGTAGTCCACTTCTGTTCCAGACAGAAGAGGACGTGATTTTCATAGTCAGTGATAAGCGGGAATACTGGAAATCTAGCCTGTTGGGGTAGGCTTTCCTAGAGGCAGCTTTCAAGCTGGGATTCCTGGTGCTTACTGATGTGCTCAGTGCACATTACAGCGTGTATCCTGGAAAAAAAAAAACACTCACGGAGCATCGGATAGCAAACAAGCATCTAGAATGTGACACTTCTCACTAAAAGTGATCAAATTGGCTTTCTATGGAAAGCAACTTGAATGTGAATCAGTTGCTTACAAAGTGATCATTATTTTGTGTGTGTGTGTGTGTGTGCAGATCATAAATATCAAATTCTGGAGGAATATAGAGGTAGAAGCAACTTTGAAATAATTTCAGTCCTCTGTCCATCTACTTCAAATTAAACAAGAAATTAAGCATTGCTAGTGGCAATGAAGATTATCCTGTGTATAGCACTAAATACACAACGAGAGATTCACCTGCATATAATGCATGATACAACTCATTTCGGTGAGTTTTAACTTGACTCTTCCACCAGGAGAGTTATGACTGCAGAGCAACCATCCTTCCCGATTTCACCAAGTCAGTGTTATAGGGAAACATTATAGGAATCACTCAAAGAGGCATCTTTCTGATCAGATGGTCTTACAGGTAGAATACCTAAGACAGTTCTAGCTAGTGCTTATAGCGGGGCCACAGGGAGTGTTCATTAATAAAACACTCCTTATTGCTCTCAGAAACATCTCGGTTTGGATGAATTATGTAAGGTAACCCTATGAGCAAGGAGCAGAATGTTTAATCACTGGAAATCACTGCAGATAGTGGTCCGGTTTGCTGCTTTGCAGAACCAGAAGCTGAAGAGTGTGAGGACACTTGGCTGATTGAGGAAGGGAGGTACCTGATTCACACTAAGAAAATTATGAAAGATTGATCCTTCAACCACAAAAACTGTGCTTTTAACTTTTGAGAATGAGGCTACTGCACAGAATAGAAACTAACATTTGTGGGCTAATGTCGTCTCCCTTGGAAGGTAGTCTCTTTGGAAAGCTAATGATCACAACCATAATTCTGTGAGTGAGAAGAATGAAGGTGACAGTGGTAAGCTAGAGAATCTGATGAAACGTGCAAGCATATTTCAACACTTACTGCCCGCAGGATGTGCACCTTTATATCTTCCTAAGAGTTTTTCTTTGTAACCAGAAAAATGGCCTCGACTCCCTTTCCAAGAGACAATAAGCGTATCAAGTAAAGGCGTAGAATAGGAGTATATAGTGCCACCAACTCTCTGTTCTTTACTAATATAAATTTACAGTGCCCCCTTCACTGGTAGTCTGTCATGCCAGTGACTGACATCTCCTGATGCCTGAGGAGAAGAACAGTCTTCATCTCCTCAGGAACAGGAACAGTCTTTCTGCCCAGGAACAGTCTTCTTCCCACCTTTCTTGCTTGAAACATCAGAGGTTAATGATTCTCAATGGTAGCCACCACCTTGTCCAATACCATCATCCCATTTCCCAGCAGTTAAGACACAGTGGCCAGAAGAGGGATAAAATCAGCTTTATTACTAAATTAGAGAACACATCTGAGATCTGAGGCCTATGTGAGCTTCTTTCTTCCTCTCCGAAGTGATGACCGCTGAGCCCAAGGGTATGTTCGCTGGACTTACCCACCCAGTACAGACCAAGGCTGGAACAGAGATGATCCCGGCTGGGCCCACCATGGGCAGGTCCTGCTGAGTGTCTTTACGGCATGGAGACTGGAAGCCCCAAAGCAGGTCCAAAACAGAGAGAAAGAGAGAAGAAGCAGGAGCACAGGTAAGCAGGGACCTTTAACACATTATCTCCACCCAGTAGAGAAAGATGGCCCCAAAAGATTCAAACCCCATCAGCTACAACCACCTCAGAAGTTACCTCAAAGATAGAAGCCTTCCTCCAATACTCTCTCCCCAGATTGAGAATGTTGGTGGAGATCCTTCCTCTATGTGACTCAGCAGAAAATGTTGGGATATAGGGAAAGATCTCCTTCAAGAGGCAAGACTGGAGCAAAAGCTCAGTGAACTACATAATGAAGAAGGGCCATTTTGATCAGCATCTGCTGACCCAAACAAAGGCACTAGGTAAGCTGCCAGATCCAGGACTGAGGCCTACAACGCACCTCCCTTCTAAACACTAACCACTGAATTCCTTTTCTAGCCTGTCCCTCTGAGAACTGCTGAGTAAGAACTTATAGGTTTATGAGGCCACCATAACACCATGCTGCTTGATCCCTAGGGTCTTCCTTCTGGAAAGAAGGCTCCCGTTTGTGTCACTCAAAGTAACATATCAATTTAATCTTCAGGGGTGGAGGTGCGGTCCTTATACGGAACCTCAGCAGAAAACCTGTCAAGCCTCCACTGCGTAGAGGGGAGCAGGGAAGTGGGAGAGTGAGATTCTCTCAGGGCCTGTGAAGGCAGGACAAGGGGTCTAAAGGCAAGTATCCCAGAGCCAAGGGTCAGATTGCTCCCCCCGCACAGGAGGCTCTCTTCTGACCAGCAGTGATGATGCTCTGATTTCTAGTCCTCTTAAACCCTTTATCTCATTCTTCTATTTTTTCCATGCTTTTCTATTAGCCCAGTTGTCTTACTACCACGAATTAGACCCAGCTTTCTTTTATAGTTGAGTCCATTTGCAGTGCTAACATTTCTGCCTGCATGACTTTTGCAGAAGGTTCATCTCCACCATTACCTGTGATTCTTCTTACACTATCATCATTAATGGAAATCTCATTTCATGGCCCTAAAGGGCATGCTCCTGTGATTTCCAATAAGTTAACTATGCCACTGTGCTTTAAATAAAACTGAATGATGGCAAAATATTTTACCCCAGAGTAGTTTTATTAGGGATTCCTGCTACCATATTAACATATAAAACAATTTGGATGTTGACATAGAAATGCAAACTTCACTATACAAAGATAAGGCTCCATTCACAGTAACATGGCCCCATATCTCTGGATTTCAACTCATTGTGAATTTCTCCCCACAGTTATGTTTATAAATATTAGACAAACCACAAAATATACTCCAAATACATAACATTTTACAATATGCTCCAAGCACAGATAGAAATACATACTTTACCTACATCATTTTCATAACCCAACTTGCATTACCATTAAAGATAAGACTGTGTGTGTATATGTATTTGCCATATGTGTGTACAAGTTTGCAAATATACACACAGTAATTTTCTGGAAATTTTAGATCTTTGAGGATGTGATTTTACTCACTGTGATATCTGAGAGGAAAAGGAACAATTTCCTCAGCTGGGACAAAATAAGCACACCTACATATGAAAAGCATATTGGTTGTGTCTATACAAATGCACACATATGTACAGGTTTATATATAAACACACATACACCAATAATATGGAATATACATATACTCACACACTTGCTTTGAACTGTGTATCTTACTAAGTTGTATACTGCTCATCTTTAGAAGTAATGTTCTCCTCATTTGATTCAGGCAACCAGTGCAGCCTTCTAACAAAACTTAAATGAGCATTTCTCAAAGGCTGTGATTCTATGCCAATTAAATGGCTTTCCATGTTCCCAGTTTTACTTTTAATGGCTATTGTTGAAATTCAGCAGACCCTATCCTGTTAACTGCTTTACCTGAAAGCATTTCTCCTTCACAATAAAGTCTAGGAGAAAAGAGATGCTAGCTGGATATGTATCTTCTTAATATGAATCTGTGTAGTTAGATTGTATGTGATATTTGTCTTGTGTTGTTCAAATACTTTACAATGGAAAATATACTACTTCCGTAATGTTAAAAACTATTTAATATCATTTTAATAGGTAAAGGCTTGATGGTTTGTTTTGGTTAGAAAAACATGATGTACAATTTGAAGGAAGACTAATTTATGGAGACTACATTGGATCATCCTTTCATTACAGAGGATGAATTAGAAATCATGTCATGTGAGAAAAGGGGAAAAATTAACTTACTGTTGCGGGTTACAACCAAAGAAACTGTATTTCTTTATCAGTATGAAAGTCCATCAGAAGACAACCATGCAAACTCAGTAGCAAGTATATATTATAATGTGTTCAGCAGAAGGCCTCATGAACTGCTTTTTGAAACTTGTCTGCAAAATTAAATGCTTAATGAATCATGCAGAGCTCCATTGAATGACCAAGACTGGAACGCCCAACTTGGAAATTACACTAATAGAGTGAAAGTGTCATTGAGTTAGGGAGAGATCACAGGTGGGCCACATCTCTTTGTAAGTGAAGGTAATGGCATGTTCTCAACTCCTGGAGCAACCCTGTGTTCTACGCTGGGAATCCAGGCTCCTCTCTCTCCCTTGCTGCTCCGTGCTCTGCACAGGGAGGCATCAGACCGGCTTCTCCTGGATTTGATGGTAGGAAGTAAGGTACTAGAGGATTTGGGTCCTGTGTTGTCTGCTTATTTGCTCCTTCTGTTGTCTCCTTCACCAAGGTTGAACTGATTGGTCATCTGATGAGCTCTCTCCACTTTTGCAGTGAAAGCCCTGATTATGAATGAGCTATTATGCTTTTGAGCAAACCAGGCAAGGATAAGAATATACACAAAGGACGATCATTTGCATGAGAGGATATTTATTCTCTCTCTCTCTGTCTCTGTCTCTGTCTCTGTCTCTCTCTGTCTCTGTCTCTGTCTGTCTCTCTCTCTCTCACACACACACACATATCACACTTTTTGAAGTTTTTTTTTTCCCACAAAATCACAAGGAATGGCATGAAGGAATGGAAATTTACCTTAAAGTTTCTTCACCTTTATTCATATCCACTTGAATGCATTCATGTCACCTCAAACAGCAAGGGCACTTACTCTTTACATTGCTGTATGCCTTGCATCATTATCACTTTCATAAAAGCCCCATCCATCTACCACACTTGCCTACTGCTCTCACCAAAACTGTCTTTTGCCACTTTCTATCTGTCCGACTCTCATCTGCTTCCATTCTCACGCTACTGTACAATAAGCAGTTAACTACTATTATCTTTCACCATTTTTTCCCTTACAGTTTCACTTTCCTTTAAGAACAATCTGCTTGCCCAGGCCCAACTATGTGGACAAAATGCAAAAGGAAAACACCAAATCCAAAATTGTCCAAAATTTTGAAAAATGGACCTCCTTGAGTCAACTCAGGGCTCTCAGTTCTACATCCTCCAGCTGCATCATCTCTTTGGGGGGCTTGATTGCTACAGTGTCTTTCTACCCATTTTTCTATATTAAATATGCAGGTAATAACAAATTATGAGATTGTTCAGCCAAAAATAGTTTAAAAAACAAACCACTGCCAAAACATTAAAAAATTCCTGATATGCCTTTATGCATTAGTCTTGCAATCTGTATATGTAAATTATTTTGAGAGGCTTGTTTTTTGTTTGTGTTTTTTTTCTTTTTTTTTTGCTAAAAATTTACCAAAATAGTTTGAACACATAAAAATATTTTTAAAAAACAAAAAGAAAAGCCCAGCATAAATTTAGTTGTATAGGCATTGGTTAGAAGACATTGTGTTCACTAAGGATTATATTCAAAAACTTTCCTTTGGGTTTTTCTTAAAATTCTGATTCTGAATCTTACAGCTTGTAGTGGTGCCAACTACTAAAAGCAGGAAAACTGAATCTGTCCAATATATCATTATGGATTATGATAGAACAGATAAAGGTGTCTATCGTACATTAAAAAGTAAACATGTTTTTGTTTAAGGGCCATCTTTTTGGCCTATAACTAAAATGTCTATAATTGATTTAAACTTAATTTAAATATGTTGAATTATGGAAAGTTAACTTAAGAACAGGAGTAATTAGTCATGAGAAAGGATCACCTGTTGATGACCCCATGACCGTTCAGAACCAGGCCTCTACTGAAAAGAGAACTCACTAGTATTGAATATAGCCCTTAGCGTGCAAGGCATTACCCTCAGGAGCACCCCAGCATGTAGAGCATGAGGCTGACCTTCCCAGCCACCCACTCCTTGAGGGGACAGTAGTATTCATAGTGAAACTGCTCAAACTCTGGTGTCTGGCGGATTTCACATAAGAAGGAGAGATCAATACCTGACTCCAAAAGGAGGAGGAGCAGGGGAAATACAAAGAGCAGCAGTCCCAGGCCCACCACAAGAAGCCTGGAAAAACTCTTGACCAGTGGATTCACCCGAAAGTGGCCGGTCAGAATGTCATAGCTCCAGGACAAAGCTCGGCGAGCCTCTTTCAGCTCCTCTTCCTCGGCAATCAAAAAGGCATTTTCATCTGCGTCCAGTTCCTCAAATGAATCTGTGTCTTCTCTTTCCAACTCAAGCCTAGATGAACAGTCAAATAGCATATCAATTTCATCATCATCAACGGGAGTGGGGAGCAAGCTGGCACTTGGGTTGTATGCTAGTTCAGAGATGGTTAAGGGCTCCTCTTTGATTTTATCTCCTTCTTCACTTGGGGGATCTTCATACACCCGGGCTTCCTTTACTGGGGAGCTGGAGATCAAGGGAGCAGACCTGTCCTCTTTAGGCAACGGGGCACCTGTAAAAAGACATGTGTTTCATAATTTTAAACTTCAGATTTTTTTCCCACAAAAATCCATAGATAGAAACAAAACAATGTGTGGAATTTGAGAAATCCATGAAATTGTTCCCTGGAATCATGACTGAAAGCAAAGTCCTGTTAGTAACAGACCTTGTACCACAGGTGCTGAAGTAACTCTGCTGAACCCAAATAACCAACACTTCTTAAATGGTTGGTGATGCGTAAAAAACTGAAATATGTGATTCTGGTCTGCAAATCTCCAACTTTGATCATGTTTGCAAGAATAAAATGACAATAATTCACTATTAGGTTGTGAGTGGCATCTTTTGGAAGCCAACACGATCAGTCAGTATAGTCTTATAAAACTATGCTACGTTTTACCATATGCTACCATACTGTAGCTATCTACAGAATCAGCCATTTGGGGATAATCAAATTGTCATTCTGGTATGTTGCCTTCTAGTCTTCATTCTAGGTATAATTTTTGTGGTTTCTAGTATCACACACAAGTTGAACATCCCTAGCCCTAACTGAAATGTTCTGAAATCCAAAAGTGCTCAAAACATTTTGGATTTCAGAGCATTGTATATTTCAGATTTTCTGATTAGGGACATTTTCAAATGTTTTAAAAACTGAAAACCTCTGCATTCTGAAAGACTTCCATCCCAGTCATCATGGGTAAAGGATGGTCCGCCTCTAGTCCCAGCCATATTGTGTGTACAAGATACACTTTACTCATTTCATTTACTAGTTTAACCAAAACGCTCTGTGTGTTGATATATACTTTTATTGGTATTTATAAGAGATGATGCATGTTTTATTTAATTAATACAATAAATTAATTGTCTACTGGTAAACTCTTTGATTTGTGATTATAAAAATGCTCCAAGATGTGTTTACCAATAAAACTTTTCCTTGTCATTCAAGTTCATTTACCAGAGGTAGATATCTAAAGGGCAAATTGCTTACTCAAAGCAACCTCAAAGCTTTCTGGGGGAGAAGTTTTTCTCAGAATCTTCTTTTATAGATGGGAAATCCAGCTACTGGATTAGGCCTCCTCCCCTAATGTTGAGTCTCGGCTTCTTCATAGAAAGTAAAGGAAGTATTGGAGCAGTGTCCTCTGGAACAAATCTACAGTATGACACCAAATGAGCAGACAGCAGGTAAGTAAGAGCTGAAACACATACTGTCACTTCTCTCTTCCAGGTGAACCTGAGTGAATCACTTTTACCTTTCAAAACTCAACATGTATTTCCTAGTGTACTCTAATCAGAAGAAGCCTAAGTGAAAAATATCATGAAAGTATACACCACGCCAGGGAGTGATGGTACTTGCCTGTAATCCCAGCACTTAGAAGGCTGAGGCAGGAGGATTGTTGTGAAGTTGAGGACAGCCTGAGCTACATAGTGAACCCTGTCTCAGAAAGACCAAAAAAAAAAAAAAAAAAAAAAAAGGTATACACCATATACAAACAGCTGACAAGTACACAAGAAGATGCTCAACAGCATAAAACTTTAGGGAAATGCAAATCAGAATCAGAGTGAGAGTGATGGTACATGCCTGTAATCCCAGCACTTAGAAGGCTGAGGCAGGAGGATTGTTGTGAAGTTGAGGACAGCCTGAGCTACATAGTGAAACCCTGTCTCAGAAAGACCAAAAAAAAAAAAAAAAAAAAAAGGTATACACCATATACAAACAGCTGACAAGTACACAAGAAGATGCTCAACAGCATAAAACTTTAGGGAAATGCAATTCAGAATCAGAATGAGACACCACTTCATGCATATCAGGACTACAATATTTTAAAAAACTAAAAATAACAAATGTTGATGATGAGATGGAAATCCTGTATATTGCTAGTAGCTTTGTAAAATAGTGAAAAAAGTTTAATGTTTCTCACAAGGTCAGGGAATTATTATCTTTTTGAGCTCTTTATTCGGGATAGTCATCCTTTGAGGAGCAGTGAGAATTATTATTCAACCCTGAAATTCCACTCCTGGAAACAAATTAAAAACAGTTACTTAAACAAATACAGTAGTACCTTGGCTCGTGAATTTAATTCTTTCCACAAGTCTAGTCAGAATTCAGTTGCAACTAAAATCGTGGAAAGAATCAGGCTTGTGGACTGAGGGACCACTGTACTTATATTCAAATGTTCACAGGTGCACTATTTCATTAGTCAAAAGGTGGAAACAACAGAGATACCAATCAGTGGATGAATGGATAAACAGAATTTGGTCCATCCACATAATAAGGCATTATTAGTGAGCCACAGAATACAATGGAGTATGAGTCATGCCCCAACACAGAACCTCCAGACCATGCACTAAGTGAAAGCCAGACCCAAAGTTCACATAGTGTGTGGCTCCATTTATATGAAATACATGGTACAGGCAAATCTACAGAAAAGGCATCCGATTGGGTGGATGGGTGGGGCTGGGGGAAGAGAGAAATGTGCAGTACATACTTTATAGGGGCAGCATTTCCCTTAGTAGTGATGACAACATTCTGGAATGTTTGTTGCATACTCCCCTAAATGTCACTGAACCGTCATGGCAAAATGGCTTATTTTGTGTTAGGGGAACTAAACTTCAATATAAATCATCAATGTAAGCCACCAGTCACCCACTACCACGTAACAATCTATGAAACCTGAATGGAGGAAAGAAGCACGGTGCTTGGAATAGGAAATGAGCTCTGGCTTTCCCGAGGGCGAGACACCCATCCCGCAGGTACTGCCTCTCTGCAGGACTCAACACGCTCCACTCGCCCTCAGGTAAGGGTGCCACAGCGCTGCTGCTGGGAGACCACTTCCACACCCCACTGTGTGTGTGGTGGAGGTGTGTGGGTGTGGGTATATGTTTATGGTGCTTCCTCCTCAAATGTCTAATAAACAACCCCCTCCTCCTTCAGCTTCTGTCGCCACATCCATCTTCTCTGTAACACTGGGTAAGGGGACCTCAGGTTTGCAGGCTGCAAGATTTGTTGACAGCAACCCTGAGCTTCCAGTTGCTCAGCCCAAATCTATGGCCCAAGTCCAATTTGTCAGCAGCCTGAGTCTTCACCTACAAAATGGGTCCAAAATCAGATTGCTTCTCACCATTTCTACTGTTGTCTCCCTGACCCAGACTGCCATGTTCTTGTCTAGATTCCAGCAAAGGCCTCTGACACACCTGCCTACCTCAGGCCTTGACAGGTGTGGGCTGCTATGGCTTGGCAGCAGGAGGGAGACAGCGCCACTCACTGGCTCAGTGCACTGTAGGGGTTTAACCTCCTCCCCCTCCTCTTCCACCTCTTCCTCCTCCTCCTCCTCCTCCTCCTCTTCTTCCTCTTCCTCCCCCTGCTCCCTCTGCTGGGAGCCCTTAGCTCTCACCTGTGTTCAAGCTCCTGCCTCTCTGTGGTCTTTAATCAGAAGTCCCCCTCTGGTGAGGGCTTTCCATGTCATGCAACATGAAATTTCAGTCCCTGCCTGGAGTTATTCTTCTTCTGAGAAGTCCAGGACATAAGGAGGCAAACAGAGCACTCAAACAGAGAGAAGCCAATACCTTCAGGAGGGACAATGCCAGTGACTGACCCAGGACTGGCGTGGGATAACAGGGAATCATGGTGATGGGACAGAATCGGCCACCATGGTGTCCACAAAAGCTTTAAAATTTAAATTTTAAACATATCTGAGTAATCCACACAAAATGTACTTGTAGGTCTTGTCAGGCATTCAGGCTGCACGCAGTCCATGTTACCATCAATAAAAATCAGCTGGATTTCATGCCACTAAGGTATTCAGGGTCACTGATCTTTTTGTTCATTTATTTATTTGTTTGTTTTTGGTACCGGGGATTGAACTCATGACCTTGCATTTGCCAGACAGGTGCTGTGCCACTGAATCCCCAGCCCAAGGTCACCAACCTTGATGACAGAAATGGTCACATTCTGTGGAGACAGGTAGGGAAATAAATAAATGCTTTCTTCCTTTGTTTTCTTTTAACACCAAGTGTTGGGTGCTTGAGATTCATATCACTTTTCCCTCATCTCTAGGCTCCAACTGGGCACAGCGGAAGGGGACCAGGTTAAAGTTGGACAACCCTGGTTTAAATCCCAGCTCTATCATTTACTCACAAGACTTAAGTTATTAAGTAGCTAAAGGTTACTTACCATTCTTGGGGTTCAATTTGCTGAACTACAGAACAGGAGTAAGTAATACCACGTAGGCTGAGCTTAGGTAAATGAAATGATGGCATGTAAGTGCCATCTATAGATGAAAACAAACCAGAAATCAGATGTTACTATCTCAACACAAAACAACAGGCAATATTTGATCTATTATCAAACAATGTCACTTTATCAGCATGTACATTAGTTTTCTCATAAATCCATTACATACAAGGTGAATTTTATTGTAGTTGGTTAAACAGGTTTTCTTTTCTTTTCTTTTCTTTTCTTTTTTTTTTTTTTTTGTGGTACTGGAGATCAAACTCATGACCTTGCACTTGCCAGGCAGGTGCTTATGCCACTGAGCTAAATCCCTGGCCCCTAAACAGATTTTCTTAATTTTCCTAATATGATAGCTTTTAAAAGTTTTCTATGTACTGGTCTGGTGAATTTTGACAAGAATGTCCAAAGAGTCTAAAACTATCACATTAATAATATAATCAACACTGCTTCATTAATTTTGCTATTAATTTATTTATATATGCCTGACTTATATGTGATGAGCTAAATATATTCACAAGCTCAATTAGAAAGACTGAGTTCTTTTATGTTTTAGAATAACAATTACTCAGGAATTTATTTTCCCATTTAAATAGCTATGCAGACCAATTAAAATTAGAAAATAGCTACAAAGTTTCCAATATATAGGAAACAAGTGTTTATTATTATTACATTTTAGTATAATTATATATTTTATACCATTGTTATTATGTAATTTGAAGAAATACTTTATGAAGTGAAATAGCAAAAATAGGGAGCAGGCACGTGGCTCTTGCCTTGCATGCACA